CAGCTGCCGCTGCAGCCGCCGCTTGAGTTGCAGCAACTTGGCCATAGATAGTGGGGGTCATCGAACTGTACATTTGGGTGGCGCCTGATGTAAGAGCTGCCTGACTGGCCACCGTCCCATAAAGCTGATTGGCAACAGTTGTACCATACACCTGACTGGCAAGGGCACCATAAACAGCTGGGTTCACTGGGTTTCCATCAGTGCGTGTCCCTGTGGTGATCCCTGTTAGAGCCGCATATGTGGGATCAAAGGTGGAAGTGTTGTAAACTGAATTGTGCACACTTTGTTGTACCTGTAGAGGCAGGCCAGCGGCCGTGTGGGGGCGGCCCGGGGGCTGCCGCGGCAGCTGCAGCCAGCACCGCTGCCTGGCTCTGGTACTGCTCCAGAGAAGGCTTCCCTACAGGGCATTCTCCAGCATAGTGGCCCTGCTTTCCACAGTTAACACAGGGGATTTTTCCTGTAGGTGCCTGCTTGCTGGGCTGGACCTTGGACAGCTCTACAGACAAGGGTCGGCCTTTAAATGAAGTGCCGTGCAGGGCCTCAATAGCCTGGAGCGCATCTTCCTTGTTTTCCATGTGAACAAAGGCGTAGCCTGCAGAAGAGAAATAACTGGCAGTCATTGAGCGCATAGACAACAATTAGGACTACACCGGCATTGCCACAGGCACTTACTTATTACTTCTAAAGGATTATTGCACCTAAGGAAGCCATCTTGTCCAGCTTTACATCAGTAATGTGGGTGTCTTTTGCACACTGAGAACTTTGCACTGCTGTATCCTAACGTATCACTCACTCAGTCAGATTCTTCACTCATGTAGAACATCGCAGGCTGTCAAAGCCTCTCAGCAACAACTGGAATAAGAAATACCTGCACTACAGAATCACTTCATTCATGCAGTAGTTCCACAATTTTACTAGCTTGCGATGTGACTGGAGCATTTTAGAACAATGCAAATGTTACCGGGGTCTTGGCTCACCTTTAACTTTGTCACACTCGAGAACTTTTCCAAACGTCTGGAACAACTGCTGTAGATCTTCAGTAGTGCACATCCCACTCAGATTACCCACAAACACCTTGGTGGAGTGCAACGGCCTTCCCCTCGACTCCTCCACCACCAAATTCCGACCACGAAACTCACGTCCATTGAGCTCCCGGATGGCGCGCTCGGCGGCACCCTCGCCTTGCAGGTGGACAAAGGCAAACTGTCGCAGCACGCTGCAGCTGACCACCTGGCCATAGGGTTCAAAGATGGCTGAGAGCTCCTCCTGGGTAGTATCCAATGCCAGGTTGCCCACAAAGAGCTTCACTGTGTGGCTCTTGTCCATGGTGCTGGAGAGAGACAGAGGAGTGTAACATCTGCTGAGCGAGCACAAAGGCACATCTCTGGCTCTGCGGTAGTCTGACAAGGAGAAGGAAGTACTGGAGTGCAACATCTCAGCACAGGGGTGACCTGCATAACAAGCCCAGTTATCTAGTCTTAGCCAGAGATAGAGCAAAATAACTATGCTGCTTTGAAAAAGCAGCAAGTCATTACTTGGAGGTTACAGCTATAATATGAATTTAAAAAAACATTTTGCTGCATTTGTACAGCATCAAACATGTTTAGCAGTCAGAACTTAAGTGGACTAAAGGGATTAAACAAAGCACAATTGATTGAGGTCAAAGTAGTAAATGCACCCTTGATAAGATGTGAATAAGCAGTGACAGATTAATATTCAAATTCCACAAACCAAATACCACACATTTGCCTGTGAGCTGGCCACCAAGGTCAGCTAGCTCAGATTAGGTCACACAGAGCAGGAACAGGAACTAAGAAAGGCATCATGTGAATAACAGCTATATATTCCCAATATGTGTCATGATCCAAAGTCTAACTCTCATTTTCACTTGAGAGGAGGCTGTGATGAGCCATGGGGCTAAGTCACACTCATACATGGGAGGCAGCCAGGAAACATAAGAACTTTAAACCTTTCCTGATACATAAAGGCACTTTTGTGATGAAATAGCTGCCTCCCGTGTCCTAATTTCCAGCCTCTAAATGCACAGGTCAAACTGAGAAGTGTTGGCGAACACCTCTTCTCCTTCCCTCATAACCTTTATGGCTGGCTGTAAATCAAAGGCCAAAGCAGAACATGACACCAGAATGACATTTCTATTTTTTGGTTAAGACTCCAGTCAGCTGCTACGGAGTGAACTACACCTCCTGCTGCTACTGATGATCACAGAAAACATGCAAGAGACACAAATCCTGGGCTTCGGTGTGTGTATGCTACATATGTGCGCGCGCCCCCGTTGCATATGGCTG